GTGTATAGAGTACTGCAGCCATGTATATCAGCCATATCATGTTGTGCCCTGGTTGTAAGGGGGGTCAGACCCGGCCCCACAGCCCTGAGGGAGAAGCTTTGGGGAGCAGAGGCTGCCGCAGGTTTCCTGAGACAGCGTTTGTCCCTGCGAATGAGTCGGGATGTTTTCCTCAGCCCTGGAATTGATACAAAGGAACCATGATGCTGGAGGGCTGTCAGTTAAGTGAGGTGTCTGTCGGGTGTACGGGCTGGTGAGGGACACCTAACATCTTTGCCAACCTCTCCAGAAAAAGAGGGAGGTAAGGTCCCCAGTGTCCTGGCCCAGTCCCAGCCTGAGTCATTGCCCGTTTAAACTCCCGTAGCTTCCCCAGCAGATTCGGTAGACGTCTGTACTGGTGCAGCAGAGCATCTCTCCACGCCATCGGAGAGCTCATGTTTTCTGTCCCAGTCCCTGCCCGAACACGACTGCGCACTTCCATGCATGCACATGCCCTTCACACATATTGCGTGGCTGGGGCGAGGAAACTGGGCAGGTTTAAAAAGATTATGCGGGATGTAACCATGACTTGTTGCCAGTGTAAACTGAGAGCCTTAACAGAGTACCTGGAGCCAATTACAGTACATCAAGGTACGATATCCTTTCTGCTGGCACCCTCCAGGGAGCCAGGAGACGCTGTGGCAACAGCAGTACGGTTTGCAGATGATATGCACAATAACCTCACCTAGACACGCGCACCTGTTTGCCTCACGAAGCAGATGTTCGGGAGCCTGTTAAGAGAGCATCAGTCTCTTGACAGCCTAGCAGAAAATGCTGTGTAACCGTGCCTGTTCACATCACTGCACCCACCAGCTCCAGCTCCGCTGGTTTACAGCGCGCCGCGGCAGCCCTGCCCGGGCACCCCGCAACCCCAGCCCCTGGGGCACGCTGCATCTACGAAATGGGAAGGCCAAGCCCTTGCCTGGCTTTCTGCCCAGGCGAATCCCCAAGGCAGGAGGGGGAGTTCCCCCCTCATGTCAAGAGGGTGTGATTTGGCTGGCTTACTGCCTGGGATGTCAGTCTTGCAATCCTACTCATGCACCAGCAACTACAGTAATTTCCATGTCACGCAGGCATTTTTAAACATGCTTTGCAGGCCGCGCGGGGCATAGCAAGACCCAGCTTTATACTCGAGCAGTCGTACCAGCAGGAACGAAAAGAGGTGAACTCGCTGGTGCTGTGTTGTGCCATTTCCATCGCCCTGGCCCACTAACTTCAGAATTTGTTGGATTTGGTTTTTTAATCGCAATGTTTTTGAGTGCCAAATGAGCCTTTTGGATTGTTTTGCATATCTGTGAATGGTGGCTGATAGTCCCACCTCCCCTGCTCCTGTGGGACAGCAGAAGTGTAAGGATCCCCACAAAGCTTCCTGCCTCTTAACCAGACTGTGGGCAGAGGATCTCTCTCCTGCATTAGAAAGCATGTCAGCCTTTCAGCGTACAGCTGAAGCTGTTTTCTGGTGACCTGTGAGCCTATAGTGTTTCCAAGTCAGCAGTTTTCAGCTTGTGGTCTATGAAAGCCCTGGATTATCCCTAAAGGATTTTCAAAAGGTGGCTAAGAAAAGCCAGGCTGGCATTGCTAGGTGCACAGTTGCTGCGCAGGAGCGAGCACTTGCACGGGGAAGTGTTTGGTGTTCACAGGTTGGAAAAGACTGAGAATGTCCTGTCCAAATCCATGGGAGAGAAGCGAACGCCACACCTGCGCCTTCCATGGCATGTCTCAATTAGGAAAGTAGGTCATGTTCGCTGAGAAGTTCATTTGCAAGGGTGTCATTATATATAGCCGATAGCTGCTAATCTAGACAAAGCTTGGCACACTCGTTACAAATCTGCGCAAGCACGTGCAGTCTAGCAAAAGGAAGACCTGTAATTCCCTGTTAAAGCCTGCTACTCTGCTTGGTAGCAGTAATAGAAGTGATCATCCCCTCAGGATTGGGGTGGGGGAGGCTCTGCAGATACTAGGATGCTGTAGTAGTACAAATTCCTGAATGCTGCCTGCAGTAACTACCAAGAAAGATTTTGGAGGGTACCTGTATGAAATTTAAGATCTCATTTTTGCCAGAGTAAGAAATGGCAAAAATGTCCTCCATCACCCTTACCCCCCCACCCCCCGCCAAAAGGCATCTTCCAAAGTGTTGAGTGGAAGCAGGAAAAGTGCACGTAGGTTGTCTGAATGCCCTGTAACATTAGGGGTGTTGTGGCGTTCGTGCACACTGAGAATGGCTGTGCTTACGGTCTGGGAGCATACCCTCACTGCTTCAGTGAAATAAATCCATCGTGTATGAGATGCAGGTCTGTTGCCCAGAACACAATGCTTAAAAATATCCCCATCCTCCTCGTTTCCATCTCCTGGAGATACGGTAGTGTGGGAAGAACGTGGGGAGGGACTCTCGAATCTCTCGGCAGCTCCAGTCTCTGCATGGCCTGAGCGCGTGTGCGTGTGTATTGATACTGAGCAACCCTGCCACACACGTAGCGTGTGTATATACTGCATTTTAATAGATATAGGCTACTGACTTAACATACACAGTTGCTATAGTAACAGAGGTTTCCGTAGTAACAGTTGCAGAAAATAATCCAGTACCAATTAAAAATAAACTGTTTGGAAAGGGGGAGGGGAGAGAAAGGGAACTGCTGGGAATCACCTTCCCCTTTATTGGTTCATCTCCCAGGGACTCAGAAGATTGATTAAATGCTTGAAATAACCTTTCTTAGCCAACAGTGACCCACGAAGGTGGGACGAGTGAGAATGCAGTGGCTGAGGCTGCTGTCCTCAAGTGAAACAAAGGGGAAGGAGTGTGTCGTGAGGGTGGGAGAACAGGAGAAGTACGAGAGTATGATGCTAAATCTCTCCATTAAGTTGAAGTCCCTAGAGAGGAAGAACAAGGGGCTATTTCTCCTCCTTCCCTCCCTCCTCCTGTCTGCATGCCGTACCCGTAACACCACCGTCCAGTCTATATTAGCATACGGATTAAAGCCACGGGCAATCCAGGCTCCAGGGGAACTTCTAACGTGTTACCCGGATGCCTATCTCAGATGCTGTATTAGAGCAGAAAGTGTAACTGTCAGGGGAGTTTCTCCCCTCCATTTGATGTTGTTTGTGCGTACCTGTTCACTCCCTCAGCCCCTCCACTCATCACTTGCACCGACAGGCATCTGAGACCCTAGAGTCCAGAGGAAGCTGGAAGTAAAACATAATGCAAAGCGAGGAGCCCTTGCCTCAGCAGGAGAGAAGAGACAGCGTTGCTTCCTTGCAAGCGTAGGATGCGTGGGCTGGGTTCTCGGAGTGCGGATCTGCACAGCTCCCCAGCAGGCTGCCACCTTGGGTGCCTTTAGCCCTGCACTCCTGTCATGCTACTCCTGCCAGGAGCACTTAGGAGGTTTCATTAAGAGATTTATATATAAATTGTCAACAAAATCCCTTCACCCAGCAGCAAGACATGCCCTCTTTTAGAGGGGAACAGCAATGCTTAGGTGCTCATTGCCTGGGCAACAGCAGTGGCGGGTGAAATTCAGAGAGAGTAGGATGCATTGAATTGGAGGAGGACTGCGGCATATGTGTTATGTCTCTTGACTGTTGGAGGTCTACCATTTGTCAGGACCACCCTTTCCTGAATAGTGGCGCTTTCCATCGCAGGTGTGCCAGGAGCTGGCTCGCCCTGACTGCAGTGGGTGAGGAGGGAGGTGCTGCTTGCTGGACACCATCACATATTGTCCCTGTTTCTTGGAAACCCTGAGTGCTCATGCGCTGGCCTGTTTTTGTGTATCTCCTCAGATCCAGTAATATCCTTCTTGCTCAAACCTCACCCTCATCCCTTCTAGCTATCAGATCGGGGTTTCCTGCATTCTCTTGTTCGAGACAAGGTGCTGGTCCCTGCTGTGGTAAGGGAGTTGAAGAAGGAAGATGGTGGCAGAGCTGCTCGGGCAAATAAACGTGTCTGGTCAGAACCAGCTCTGCTCTTCAGGTCTTTAGTTTGCAAGACTCCAGGGCATACCAAGTATAAATGTCACACGAGGGCGCTTCATATCCTCCATCTGTAAAAGTGAATGCCTTGGATCAAGGCTCGCTGCAATAGACGCAGCCTAAACATGTGCGTGTTGGAAAGGCTTTATTTCCTGTTCCTGCAAGGAGAGAGAAATTTGAAACTAGTTTATTCTGTCTCCCTGCACGGACAAGAACTAATGACACCTCTACGCTGTGTGACCTAGCTACCAGTGTGGGACTGACAGTGACACTTGGGAAGCCGAGAGAGGTGACATGCCTGTGACCTTGTCCATGCTTGTCCAAGGTCATGTAGTAAGTCTGCGGCGGAACCAGAGAAAGAGTACTGGACCTGGGTGCAAAGTGCAGAGCAGAGCATGTTTGCTGCTGTTCCTTTCCAGTATGATTATTTTCTTCAGTTGCACTCCTATTTGCTCCCCTAACTACTGTGTGTCCAGAGGTTACAGGTCACTGAGATGACTGGGATATAACAGCAGTAGAGTCATATCTAAGTCACTCTTCCTGGAAATGAGTTTCTGTGGAGTCAGTCAACAGCTCATTGGCCTAAGCTTCATGTGGTGTGGTTTCACTATGGAAAAAAAAAAACTCTAGAAGCCTAGAGGATTGTTGCATCTGAAGAGACTGGAAAACTGAGTTTGGGCGTAACCTTCTTGCTAGATTTGATGCCGTAAACCATGATGAGTTAAGAAAGGGACCCTATCAAAGACGAAAAAGTAAGTCTCTTGCTGAGGGAGCTGGTGGGAAGATCCAGGAGTAGAGGGAAAATGAAAAAAGAGGAGAGATTTGGTAGGAGAACATCTGAACACCCGTGTCCCCAAGGCCCGGTGTAAGTGGGATCCAGGCTAGGGCACCCCTGACTGCAGGTAGGGGAGGGCTCCTTGTTTTCCTCCCCGAAACAGGTGAGTTTATTTCTCTGTGCTAATGACCCACCTCTTCTCATCCTTCTCTGTCCCCCCTACCAGTGACCAAGCTGCAAGTGAGCAAGTCGAAGCGGAGCATCACTCTGGTGGAGAACAGGCCTATCCCCCTCAACTGCTCAGTAAAATCTCAGACCAGCCCCGACTCGCACTTTGCTGTGCTGTGGTACGTCCACAAGCCCTCGGACGCTGATGGCAAACTCATCCTGAAGACCACCCACAGCTCAGCCTTCGAGTATGGCACCTACGCGGAAGAAGAGGGGCTGCGGGGCCGGCTGCAGTTTGAGCGGTCAGCATCTGGGGGGCTCTTCAGCCTGACGGTCCAGCGGGCAGAAGTCCGTGACAGCGGCAGCTACTACTGCCACGTGGAGGAGTGGCTGCTCAGCCCTAACCATGCCTGGTACAAGCTGGCGGAGGAGGTGTCGGGGCGAACAGAGGTCACCGTCAAGCAGCCAGGTAGTATGCCCCTCGGTGGCGAGATGCTCCAGGGGAAAACCCTGGGTCCTCTTGGCCCCTGCTGTCTCATACGCACCTCATGGAGCTTGCTGAGCTGTTCTGGGGCAATGAGGATCCTCTGGTGTCCTGCAGGGATTATTGAATGTGGTCCCCAGCCAGTACCTTGGGTATCGCTGTGCCTGGTCACACCACAAGTGCAAAAGGCCTGAGCATGTTGCTCCTTGCCGGTCCCAGCGCTTTACATTTCCATATGCAAATTCCCAGGATGGGCCTGGGACAGCCAGGGAAGGGGAAGCTGTGATTTACCCCCTCCTTTGCATCACCTGCCTCCCTCTGATCAGAAGAACGCCCATTTCTTACTGTAGTGGCCATACCAGGGAAGTCCAAACTGTGCCCCTTAAAATAATCATGAAGGAGTTAGGAGTGTACGACACGTCATTTCACATAAAAGAGCTGATTGCAATCACTCCTAGTGCATCAGTGAAGTTATGGAGCAAAAAACAGGGAGATTCTCAGTGCAGTGATGCACTAGATATGACTTTCCCCTTGACCCTTGTACCACTTCCCTTTTGCAGTTGTGGTTCCCTATAATCAGTTGTCTATTCTCTGCATTATTTTCTTCCCGCTTTTTCCAGCGCAAGAGGGCTTGCTAGTTTGGGTAGGACTGGGCTAGTGCCCAGCCTCAAAAGGAGCACGAGAAAAGACTGAAGTGTGACCTTCCTTTGCAAGGTATCTGTGCATTTAGGACCTCCCAGGTCCTACTAGGAGACCATGGCATTCTTAGTTTCCTGCGCAGAAAGGGGCTTTGTTTGTTACTAGTCTGAGATTTTCAGAAGAGCCTAAAAACCGTAAGCCCATTTTGGGCTTGTGGGGGGACAGAGGACACTTGCACCCCTCAGTCACGTTGTATTTTTAACCACCTTTTTCCTTAGATAACCGCCTGCAGGTAAATCAGACCCACAAGAATGTTACCATCCTGGAGAACCAGTGGGTGACCTTGGAGTGCCTGGTCAGCAGCCGGACCAGCCCCTCGTCCCAGCTCTCTGTCGAGTGGTACATCTGGCGGCCAGGACACCCGGAGAAGGAGGCTGTGGCCCGGCTGAGCCGGCAGAGCATCCTGCGCTATGGGGAGCTGGCGGCATTGGGTGACCTGAGGAACCGGCTACACTTGGAGAGCCCATCCCAGGGCTTGTACCTCCTCACCATCCAGAACGCCACCGTGCGGGACAGTGGGGCCTACGACTGCCGCGTGGAGGAGTGGCTGCAGGACCCTAACGACCGCTGGTACAAGCGGGCAGAGGACCTCTCCGGCATCATCACTCTCACTGTGAAGCAGCCAGGTAACGAGGAGCCGTGGGTCTTGTGCCACAGGCTTTTAAGAAACTCTCTGCTCTCTTTGGTCAACCTTACGATTCACCATCCTTCCTGTGGTCGATGACTGGTCGAGGCAGAGGGCAGGAGTGCGGCAGCTGCAGGCCGTGCTCACACTTAGGTGGGTGTCTTCCTTGCCCCTTCACTCTTCTGGAGGGAGCATGCAGCAGAGCCTGCGAATGCAGCTAGCTGGACGTGGGATTTTAGCAGCATTGGGTCTGTGAATTTTCGTTTTTGTACAGCACTGTTGTCGCTCTTGTTTCAATAAAATAGGCTTCAGCTTCTATTCACTTTTTGATTGAGAACGAGGCAGAAGAAGCTACCTTAGAGTTAAAGGCCTGTGCTTCCCAGTTGTGTACCCAAGAGGCAGGGTCCTTGCAAGGAAAGAAGGTACCAGAGGGGGTTGAGACCTTGTGGTTGTCCAGGCAGCTTCACAAGATGCTGCTCTCCATTCCACAAGGGAAGAGCAGACACAGGGTTTGTAGATCCAGGGCTTCATTTGTGGGTCGGGACAAGGGCTCGGGCTTCTTGATGGAGTGAAAGTTGGTTACGAAGAATCTTCCTCTGTACAGACAAGTGGGTATTTAGGGGCTCCTTGCACCTCCTGGCAAAGTTTGTGGCCACGATCTCACCCATTATAGCAATTCATGCAGCTCCTGCTACATAACAACACTCAAAATATGCTCACATTTTGACGTTGCCTGTGCACAGCAAGACGAGGATCAGAGATCGCTGCAGCCTCAGTTGCTTCTCGTTCTTTACAAGATCCGGTAGAGGAAAAAGTGCCAAAAAAGTTCAAACCAGGAAGAAAATTCCAGCTTCCTCTATTTTAACAGCACAGATGGCAAACTGCAATGGTAATTTACCTTGGGAAATACAGATTCTCCAGTTTTTGAGGCATGTGACTAAAGATTAAATCTCGAAGGAAGACGGTAGGTCAAAGAAAAGTTATGACTTACACTCACTGGGTACCTTTCAGCATTTAAGAAAAAAAAACATTGCAAGTATTTTTGGTGCTTTATGCCTGCCTATGTGAGTGAGGTGTCAGCCTTGTAACTCTGCAATGGAGCTGGCAACATTGCAAGATTTTGGAAAGGTTTTAGTGGTAATTCTTGTAGAGAAGATTTGTGCTGTGAAGGAGAAGCTCTTTCAGGGACAGCACAGCTTTTACCCACAAGGTCTTTGCTCAGGAAACTTTTCTCACTGAGATGGCTTGAGCAGAAGCACCCCAGGGTCTCCAGACAGTAACTGGGTAGCTTGCACGCCTACACAGTTATGAGTTTAACTCTTCAGGCTGAAAATTGCTAGCCCTGATGGACAGAGGATGAAGGCGAAGGGAAATTCCTTTGGTTCATTTTGAGTTGTGGAAGGATGTGGAGTGGGAAGAAGAGGGGGAGTTGGGAGTGCACTAATATAAGATTTTTAAAAAGTGTGTTGTTGTTGTTGTTGTTGTCTTCTTTCATGGCAGCTAGTAACTGAAAAATTACTAAACTTAAAAATAGCATTGTTTGTGACTCATATCTCATTAGTGAGGATCTCTGTACTCATCTTTCATACAATAATCATGAGCAAAGAAAAAAACACTCAACACCTTCAGACTGCAGTCTTTTTGTTTAACTCGCAGAGGTGGGGGAGGTTTTTGTTTGTTTTGACAAGCCATTTCCTTCCTTTCCTCCTTTTTACCTCAGAAGTCCTAGAAATCTGAGGACTTGCCTCATTCCTGTTTCTGTTCAGGAGTCTCTTGAGGAAGATGAGAACTGGAAACACTGCTGTTGTCTACAGTCTTAAGGATTCTGGCCTTGATGAAAGTTTTCTGTGTGGGATCATTTAAAAAGTATAGGAAAACTGCTCTAGTGAAAAAACACAACATCCTCTTCCTTGCAGTTCCTACTGCTGCCCTTTGGAAGGGGACCCTGAAACCTGCTCCTCACGACACCCTGGACCCAGATTCCCCAGCTTTACAGCTAAGGAGATTTGCTGTGCCTGCCAGCCTCAGAGGAGGCTTCTGGATCAACAGAGCCCCAGGGGAAAAGCCCCCTTGTGCTGTAGCTGCTCCCCATGTCCCAGAGAAGGGGAATCCCGGAGAAGAGCCTGCCTCCTTCCTTCCTTCCTTCCTCTCCCCTTCCCTCCCTCCCTCTTTGGGAGCCTGTTGGAGCTGCCCTTCTTCATCCCTGCTCAGAAGACTTCCCTCGACTCCCAGTCTGGTCTCACCTTTCCTGTGTCCTTCATGTGCTCCCTATGGCCTTCAAAAGGCTGCCCAGTCCAAAAATGAGCTTGACGTGACCCCAGGAGCTGACGGCCGCAGTGTTCCCAGTGCCTCCTTTGCGCAGGATGGACATGGTCTGAGGCTGGAAGAGCTGAAAGCACTTGGCAACATGCAGGAATGAGACCAGAGGGGACATTGCTCCCTTTGCTGGAGGGAATCCCAGCTCTCTTTGCTGGAGGATAAAGTGCCTCTTCCTTTGGTGAGCTATTGGCTTGCCCTTCATGCTTAATTCCTGCGTTAGAAGGGGTTTTTTAATCTTTAAATGAAAGCTTAGATCTGGGCTGATTGTAATCTCCAGATTATGTGTTCCCTGGCAATATGATTAAATCAAATGTTAATTGCTCTTGAAGTCAGCCTTTAATCAACTCATCTTGAGTTCTGGCCACTGTATCTCAGTTAGGTAAAAACATCTCTTTAGCCTTGCAGCAACCAACAGAGAAAAAAAGAGAGAGACATTTAGTGTCCTTGCTGCCTGTGTGCTGAGGGCCTCTCTGTGGAGGTTTCCTAATGAACTTCACAAATTGTTGGGAAAAAGTTCTGCCCTCTTCCGACTTAGAGCTTCTGATTCTGAAGACCGCTCTTGTACAGATTAGGAACAAAAATAAACAGAGAGTGAAATGTTGTTTGCTCCGATAGCTAGGGAGTAGTATGTTGGTCCTCTCTGCACGCACTGAACTTTTGTATTTCCTGATATGTTCTTTTAATATATCTAGATGAATTACAGAGACTTTCTCTTTTCATGCAAGTCCATTAGTGCATGCATGCTTCTTGCTAGGAGGCTGCAGCGAAAGTCTGTGTGGGCAGGGTGATAATGTGCAGCAGTGCTAGCTAGTGCTAGTCCTGTTTTGACTCTGAGCCAGATGGAGCATGGTAAGGTGGGGATGCTGGTTCTGTGGGGTTGACCACAGAGGTTCTTGTGGGAGTTGGCGGGCTGCGTCAAGCCTTTGCGTGTTGCTTGGATTGTGCCCAGCATTGGAGATGCGACAGCATGTTTGCGCTGAGGAAGGATAACTTTGAAGATAGTATTTAGCTCTGCGCTCACCTTTTCCCTTTTATTGTCTCAGATCCCACCTTGCAGGTGGACACAGCCACCTCCAACCTGACAGTGCAGGAGAAGGAGTCCTTCCCGCTTGACTGCAGCATCCTGTCCCGCTCCAGCCAGGAGTCCTACTTCGCAGTGGCGTGGTACAACATGCGGGCCAAAGAGGGAGGCGGTCACTCAGAGGAGGAGGAGAGGGAGGCTGTGCTGAGCGTGGGCCCGGATGCCGTGTTCAGCCAGGAGGCTGGCCGCTGGGAGGGCCGGCTGCGCTTCCAGAGGCTCGCGGCAGTGCTCTTCCGGCTGACGGTGCTGCAGGCTGGTGTCGCCGACACTGGCAACTACTCGTGCCGCGTGGAGGAGTGGCTGGCAGACCCCAATGGCGTGTGGTATCGGCTGGCTGAGGAGGAGTCTGGCGCGGTCGCTGTTCATGTGCAGGACGCAGGTGAGAAGAAGTGACGTGCTCTTGAGGGGATGGCTAGTATGTCTTCTGTGTGTGTGAGCGTTCATGATCCCTCCCTGCCCTTTCCCTCTGCAGCCACAGAGCCCACCACTTCAGCACGTGTTCAGAGGCAACCCTGCTGGGTGATGGCCCAGTCATACCCTTTCCGGGCTGGGTTTCAGGTGTTCACCACAATACCTTGTGGTGAACAGCACCAGCTTTCTTGCCTTTTTGGCAGCCAAGGTAGAAAGGCCAAGGAGTAAATGGGATGTGGAGCCTGGATCTGGTCCGCACTGGGGCAGATCTGTGGCTCAGGTGTTTTTTTGGTCAGCTTGCTGGGTCTTAGCCCAGCTCTTGCTCAGGCTTAGAGTATCTGCACTGCGTTTAGCTCTGTGCTTGGGCTGTCTGCCCCAGAGCCTGATTTGTCCAGAATCAGCGGAGGCAAGCGTTACACCGTGCTTAAGTTTAATCTTTTTCTTTGGGAAATGCTCTGGAATTTGACTTAGCTCTGCACATGAGCGCTGGCTTTCATGTCAGCAAGCTGGGCAGAGGGTGAGGCTGGGCTGCTGGTGCCCGTACAGCCACCTCTGCCTTTCCCTTGTGCTGGGAGACTGCAGCATCGTGGCACCTTGATGGATTGCCATGCTCTCCTGCTCTGCTGCTCCTCGGGCACTGTCAGGTTACTAGAGCCTGCGTCCAGGGCAGATTGAAGGGTGAGCTCTGTCTTTAAGGGAGCCCCTACCACTGCAGCCTTGCGCACAGGCACTGTTAATCCAGGCTTGGCATACAGAGTCACTCTGCTGCGAGTCTTGGTGCTGAAGAACATCAGCTGCTAAACTAGCCCTGTTGTGCTAAGGAAGTGAGGTCTTGTGTGATCCCTGTGCTATTGCGCATGGGTCTCCTCCCAGTAACTCTTGAAGCCATCAGATGATTTCAGACAAATCCAGCCAAGAGCTAGAGGCCTCAATGATAACTAGGGTCATGAGAGCTTTGTGGGCCCTCAAGGGCTGCCTCTTTGTGCCACCACTGAGGAAAAGGCCACTATGTGATGTTCCCCCCCACCAGAAAGTCTGCACCAGGGAGGATTCTGTTGTAGCTCTCATGAAACTTAAAGGAAGGAAAAAGCTGAAATGTTCCCTGCAATAGCTTTATTTTGCTGCTATGTCTTCAAATGTTGGAATTTTTCTCAGAGTCCCACTTTCTGTGTTGATACAAATTAATGATCTTGATTGCAGAGAAGCTGCAAAATGTGACTGTCTTTTGTCTCTACTTTTAGGCTCCACCCTGCAGTCGGTCATCTGCTCCAATGATGCCCTCTTCTACTTTGTATTCTTCTACCCCTTTCCCATCTTTGGCATCTTGATCATCACCATCCTCCTGGTGCGGTTCAAGAGTCGAAACTCCAGCAAGAACTCAGAGGGCAAGAACGGGGTCCCCTTGCTGTGGATCAAAGAGCCTCACCTCAACTACTCTCCCACTTGCCTAGAGCCACCAGTCCTCAGCATCCACCCGGGAACTATAGACTAAAAGGCAGATGCGCCCAGGTGAATGCGCAGAGAGAGAAGCAGAGACAGACCAGGAACCCTGAGGAACAGGGTGTTTTTGTTGTTCTTGTTTCATTTGTTTCAGTGTCTGTACTCCTGTGCGTTGACTGGGCTCTGCAGAGCACCCAGTCGGTGGGGACTGGAAAGTCTGAGACTTCTTCAAGCAGCTGTGGAAACGCAACCAGTCACAGGGATGGACAGAGGGTCTGTGCACTTGCTGTACATAGCAGATATTCCTCACAGATTAATTTTGCTCCCATCAGTTGTTGTCCTTTGGGCCATAATTTTTTTTTCCATTGTTTTTATATTCAGTCATCCAAAGAACTGTAGACTTCCCCCTCCCTCCACACAGTGAGGGGTTCCCAGCACGCTTTTGGTCCTGGGACAGTCTCTTTGGAGTAAATGTATGTTTTCCAAACAGACTTCATTCTTCTTGCTCAGACTCTGCGCCACAGCAAACAAGGTCTTTTCCCAAGGCCTGCTAAGCTAGCCACTCTCTCTTCCAAAGCAGGCAAAGCCAGGATGACATCCTGAGGCTAGCTGGGGTATTGGGAGCTCCATCTCAAAGACTGGCCATAGTCTCAGCATCTTCTTGCCTCCATCTTACTGTTCTCTCAGGAGGAAGAAATTCACTGTTTGGGAGTATTCTCTGATTTTGGGCAGACTGAATATTCAACATGCTTGCAATCGAGACAACTTAAGCAATTCATTTTGCCTCCAGAAACCGAAGGGAGAGGCAGAAGGGGGTACCTGAAAGCCCTGACTTTGTTGGTAGCAAAGAGGCTCCTGATGCGGTCTGGCTTATCAGAGGCGCACTCTTCCCTGGTCTCTGTGCTGCCACCTCTGAAGAGGCGGGTTACCTGTGTGCCCCAGTCATGTGGGGATGGATGGCTGGATCCACTCTATAAAAACTTTAACTTGACCAAAGTAATGACTCTAGAAAGGGGGAAAGCTCCACTAGTGGGGATTCACCGTCCCTGGATGGTTTGGTGAAGGAGCCGAGTCGTAGTCACGCCACGCAGCAGGGATGTGCAGTTAACCATCACGTGTCATGAAATTTCCCAGGGGCTTGCATGGCCTCCCAGCCCAAGCTCAAACTGGTGAAAGAGTCAGCATCACATCTGCTCCCTGAGGGCTTCTGTGTCCCCTTGGGCTGAAAGAAATCTTCCCCTCTGTGTGTGTGTGCATGTGCCATTTTCCATTTCTGGGGCTTCAGGAGAAGAAACCATTTTGCCATAAGCTCCCCTTCCTGGCAAAGTCACCTGCTCTTTGTTGTGCACAATCGCTGTGACCGAAAACGCTGTTCTTTCTGTGAAAGATATGGCTCTTGCAAACCAAACCAGGGCTCTCTCTGTGTGGGGCACCTAAGCTCCTAGTACCCAGTAATGCCAAGTACTCCTGCTGTGTCCTGTGGAGGAAACCGCCTCCTCCCCGATACACCCTAAGCGTTATGTCTGGCGGAAGAAAATGTTTGCCAAAAATGGCTTTTTGTTGTCTTCCTTGATGTCTTCCTGCCAAATCTGGCCATTTATTTTTTGCAGCATGGCTGAAGCCAACTGGGGCGGATGGGTGAAGCCGCAAGAGCCCACCTGCCTCGCATGAGAGAGGTGCCATACCTACAGCCTCTGTCCCCTTCAGGGCGGTGGGACTGCTCTTTGCGAAGAGAAGGGGACCTCAGCAGATGCTCTGTAGCACTAGTAGGTTAAACCCTGATGCCTTGATGTTTCAGAGGTGGTGAAGCCTCGGGTGGAAATCTGAATCATGCATCCTCTCTCCTGCCTGGAAGAGGAGCCTGTGTACCCCTACATGCATGCGGACAGTCCCGTTCCAGTGGCAGGTGAGTCGAGTCCATCAGACGTTCGTAGTAAGCCACCTCTGCTCCTCCACGAAAACAGCATTTATTTCTTCTTCCGCTAAGAATGCAAAATTCCACTCATCCCTCTGTGAAGTCTCCCTCCTTGAGAGGCAATTGTTAACTGGCCCCGGCATATGCGTAGTATCACACACCTATATATATCACACATCCACCTACTTGTTTTCCCTTTCTGGATAAGGAGTCTGCAAAGAGCGGGGTGAAATGATAAGTGAATGGAAATGAAGAACCAAGGCAAAAAGAACAGCAGCTGCAGCCAGTGGGTACTGTTTCATAAATGTAGTATCTCCTGTACATACTGCTTCGGGGAAGGAATGGCAATTCATTTCAGCTTTAAATGAGAAGAGGAAAAAAAAAAAAAGTCAGCTAGAGCTGTTCATTCCTGGGAGAGCGCTGCGCTGCATCCGAACCAGGCTCCTCCTCGCCAGGCTGCCCCAGCAGCGCATCCCTGGAGCAGGGCTGTCTGCGGAGGGCTTTCCCGCAGCAACCTCCCCCTGGCTGAACCCTGTCCCTTCCCAGCCTCGCTGTGGGAGCCAGTGCGCTCTTGCACCGAGCCCAGGATTTCCTGGGAAGCAGCTCCCACGATGGTCACAGAATACCTTGCCGGTGATATTTTTCCATTGCTCTGGCAGTATGTTGCTCAGTCTCAAACTTCTCTTTGTTTTTATAATGCAAACTTCCTGTAACAAGTTTTAACACAAAGCTTTTCAGACCACTCTCTCTGCTGTAACTTTCTGTACCGAACCCAAGAAGAAAGAGAGAAACCCTATCCATGCATGATGTGGAAAAATGTTTGGGAATTTTTTTTAAAAAAAAAACAGAAACTTTGTACTATGTTGCACTAAAACATGTTTTATACAACACACCTGAGAGCTGTAGTAAACTGTGTTGAAATTGTGATTCATATTGCTGCTGGTTTTTGTCTGATTGGGGCTTTCATTATGCCTTTATGCATGCTCCCTGCCTAAAGGTGTGCTGAACTCCTAAGCCAACTCCCACAGTTAGGCAGCCCTTCCCTCCTCCAGTAAATGCCTGATGCATCAAGTCTTTTCCCTCCCAAGTCCTTTCCCTCCCTCCCTTCCCCATCTCTCCTCTCTCATCCAGGCTGAAGCTTGCAGCCCCTTTGCTCCCTCTGCCCTCCAGGCATACAACCCCATCCATCCCTTAGTTCATCCCATAATAGAATATACCTTTTTAACAGAGGCACAGCATGCCCATTTATTGGATGGGATACCCTGGTTTTTGAAATTGCTCTTAGAAAAATAAGCACAACAAGCTGTATAACATTCTGGATTTGAAGAAAAACTTATTTGTCATAGAATTAGCTGCATAATCCATGGCAAATGGTAACCAAATATTCATTAGTAGTTTGAATTTAAATATAAGAATATAGTTTACCACAGGAGTTGCTTAACCTGATGTAAAAGGCAACTGGTTAAATTCTCTCATTAGCAGCCCTTACCTTGCAGAAAAGTTTAGCCAGCAGTCTAGACCTTCCCCTTAACTTGAAATAGGAAAGTACGATGTCACATTCTTTAAATAGCAAAAGCACTGTGGAATTCTGCAAAATGCACTGGCGAAGCTGCAGGGTTAATTTTTTGGCACTCACTGAAAACAAAAAATACTCTCTACTGAATTAATTGCATGAGGAAACTGCGTCACCCGCTGACACAGCTGGCTGTTGCCTCTGCCAGAGATTACAGCAGATCCATCCTGAGCAAGGGAGCGAAAGTTTCGTCTCTGCGGACGTTCAGTGCTAGAAGGTAAGTGGCATCCCTGGCTCTTCCCGTGGGCAGTGCGGGGCGGGAGCTGGACGTAGCGGTCGCAGGGAGGCATGCCAGCTCACCCCTGGGATCCCTGCCTGCCTTGGGGACAGGGAGAGGCCCCCCCCACATCAGGCAAAGAAGAAGGTGGAGCATTCACACGCTCCAGGCTCTGCCTGCCCGGGTGACCCCACGGCTGCCCACTGGTACCACACCACTGCGTGATTGCTCCCCCCCACTAAATCCCAACCCACTTTCTGTTAAACGGCCCTCGTGCTGAAGGTGACAAGCAGAAAAAGAAAAAGCAAGCTTCACCCCAGTTACAATCACATGCATTGACTCAGCGGGTTTGCAAAAAGCGCAGCTTGCTTGGTGGGGACTAGCCAGTGCTAAGCAGGTACAAGTCCCTGGCCACCTCCTCCAGGCGCTCCCTGAACTCCAGGTCTTGGTAGAGGGCGGCACTGACGCCCAGGAAGCCGTGCATTGCCCCCCACCAGCAGCCTGCAATGGCAGCCGTGGAGTCGCTGTCGCCACCGTGGAAGAAAGCGCGGTGAGCCAGCTCAGGCCAGGAGCCCCCAGCGCCCAGCAGTGCGTCGTAGGCAATCATGGGTGCATCGTGCCCGCTGCTGCCCCCCCAGCCTGAGTAGCTGATGGAGGTGTAGAACGAATCTCTCTCCACGACACCGTATTTTGAGGGGAAGGTAGGTGGTGAGACCCCATCCGATATGCCTCGCTCCTCCAGGTATTTTTTCCACTGCTCTTCAAAATAATGCCTGCAAAAGAGAAAGGAAGAGAGGGATGCAAACAGGCGTTCCGGTGCAGCAGCAAGCACCGTTTCTGCATACAGGCGCTACAGATGTCAGCTTAAAAAAGGCGCCCCACGGAAAGATAGCTTGGAGCAACAGCTCAACCGAATGGTAGGCGTCCCATTTATCAGACTGCGGACATGATTTACAGTAAGGTGCACAAAAGCATGTCTCAGTGCACGAGATTTCCCCTCTCTCCAGCCACCTGGGAGAAGGCAGTCCAGCACCTGCTGCTGCTGCGCTGCGAGGGATCAAAGGCTCAGAGCGAGAACTGAGTCATCCTCCTGAATTCACATTGCCGCTGCCAGTGTCCCTGGGTGGGTGCCTGGTTGCGTGTACAGTCACCCCGAACAAACTTCCAGATTTGGTTAAAACTCTCAAATTGAGCTCAGCCCTAAGCCCAGTGTGGGTCCCCATCCCTGGTTCCCAGCTTTCATCAGATCGTGATTCCCTGAGATGAGAAGTCTAACTACCTCATATTGCATCCAAAAATGTCACGGCCACATGACACAAATAGTCTGCCAATTTTTTTTCTTTTTTTTTTTTTTTGCTTAATTAGAGGTATTTGTCCCCTGGGAGACTTAAGAGACTTTCTGAACTGATTTGATCCCACGGCAGGCATGTGCTGCTCTAAGAGTTTATAATAATGTGACCATGCAAGCTTAAGCATAAATAGAGCTTGTCCTCTTGTACGTTGTGTTTGTTTTAATTTTTAACAATTCCTTTTCTTTTAACTCTATATTTTTTCATGACCCTGGGTCCTGCAGTGCAAAAGGGCTTAGGAGTGTGCCTAAAGGCACTTTGGGAGAGCGTGTTTTGGGATCGTTGGAAGGAATCCGCTGCAGGACCTGTGAAAAGCAGGAGCCCTGGCAGTCAGTGAGAGCCCAGCTCACCAGTGGCCCATGTTCTCCTCCACGAAGAAGCCAGCATCCCTGACGTAGGCTTTCGCTCGCGGCAGCACTTCCAGCAGCCTCTTTCCCCAGGTGTGGAGGGGCACGCGGTTGATTGCGAAGGCAGTAAAGAGGGCGGAGGCCAGGGAGCCCAGGTAGCCAGTAGGATGGTGGTGGGTCATTCGCCCGCTCTCGATGCTGACTTGCACCAGGGTGTCCAGCTGCTGGGGGCGGGGGAAACGCAGCCCAATGCACATGGAGCGCATGGCAGCACCGCAGCCTCCTGCCTGGGAGCTGAACGGGATCCTCCAGCCATCTGGCCTCTCCGGCTCCAGCATCAGAGCATTTTCCTTACACGTCACACCTGAGCAGGAAGGGAGAGAGCCCCAGAAAGAAAGAAACACAGATCAGGAGGCAATAGGGTGACATTGCGCAGGAATGTCAGGAAGACGGGCAGGATAGAGGGAAGGAAGTGTTACTCTGCATAGGGATTCAGACACCCCTGTAAATACATATATAATGCATAAAAATAGAAAGGAGGTTTGGAGGGATATCAGATTGCATTATCTCTGACCCAAAGCAGGACTAAGCGTCTCTATTTTATTCCTGACAGACTTGTAACCTCCTTACAGGGCTCTTTAAAGATGGAGACCCCACAAGCTGCCCAGGAATCTTTTCCACTGCCTCGCTGATAGGAAATGGTTCCTACTGATGAATCTGTATCTCCCTTGCTGCAGTTTTAAGTTTGTTAGGAAGCGATGAACTTAGTACCTGCCTCACTATAACACAATTTTATATAACTGGATTTATTGTACTCTCCTTAAACATCTCTTAAATAAGCTGAAGAACAATCGTACTAGGTCAGACCAAAGGTTTGTCCAGCCCACTAGCTTGTCTCCAAACATAGCTGCGAGCAGATAATTACAGAAAGACTATTAAAAATGGAGCAAGCACACCATTTTTGCTAGAACACCTCCCAGCAGTCGGAGTAGTAAGCCCTTGCTGAGTCAGAAGCTGGAGCAGCAGCATCATGATCAATAACCGCCAGTGGACCTAACCACCATGAATTGGTGTCACTAGGTCCCATGCATGCTTTCAGACTCCTTTAACATCTCATGGTAACCAGTGCCACAATTTTGTTATGCAAAGTATTTCTGTCTGTCTTAAACCACCCATTTGACAATTTGCCGAAATTCCCCTCTAATTTTTACATTACAAGACATAATGACTAGCCTTTCTCCATGCTATTCAAGATTGAATACACTTTGTCACGTCCCCCCTCGTCGACTAACTCCTGCTCTAAGCTGTTGCCCTAGTCCAGTTTTGCCTCTTCTCAGCTGGGAAGCCACGCCATAACTCTTGCATTGCCCACCTCTGTCTCTCTCATAGTTCTGCTATTTTTTTTTTTAAAGAAATGGCTCTGCTTCTTCTAGTGCTGCTTCTTTTGACACTTCACTTGTTAGTCCAGCATGTTCATGGGTGAAAGCCACCTGCAGAAACACATCCAAATCTCAGAACTCAGTCAGCTCTCCCAGCCAAGACCAGGAAACAAATTGGGAGTACTAAGCCCAAATGCTTGCGTGCAAGGAAGAGGAAACGGCTTCGAAAAAATAAAGTGTCTTTGATTCTCCTTTGCTTTGCCTTTTTTTCTTAGCCTTCTCTTCTGGCCAAATCTGAAATATTTCTTTTCCGGTAGAGAAGTAAATCCAAGGGCAGGTTTCAAGTAGCTTAGTTCAAGTTTTAAATGAAACTGGATTCAAAAGGTGAATCTTCTCCCAATCACAATATGCTTAGTTCTCTTGCAAACACACAGCAGCAGTTGAAATGCTCATGTACCTAAGATGAGACAGTTAGGGCCTGCGCTTTGCTGCCTAGCCAGGGTGGCTAGCTGGTAAATGAACATGCAGGTGCTCTGTTGCTTTAAAAGTCAAACTAAGGCATAGAGTAACGAGTAGCTCTGGCGAGAAGCTTGGTCCAGACTTTTTATGTAACTGTACAATTCTAGGCTCTTTGGTGCAATCTGATTACCTTGATCTGGGACCTTACTAATCACAGCCAGGCACTGCGCTGACTACTCAGGGCTGTTTATTTTTTCACTTGCATATATAAGCTTGGCAGTAGGATTTTGTGCCTGGCGCTCTTATTCTACCAGCATGTGGCAGTTAAACTACCCTTGTAACCACAGTCCCTGCAAATCCAAACACAGCTTTAAGATTGCCTTCTATTCATGTACTAGAAACAAATAACGGTTGACTGCAGTCAGGAATAAGGTTAGATGGATCCTTTTATAGTTCTGCTAAGCGTTTTTAGCATCTTTCTTTTCTGACAGTGTCGTGGCATGATAGGTTTATTAGATTGACGTAGGATGCAGCCCTCTGTGCTCTGTGAACTGCTGAGTGTCTCAAACTGAAAAAGCAGCACAGAGTCGAGGCTGTCTGACTGTTAGCCTGGTGAGCCTGCTGTGTGAGACAACTTTAAGAATGGGAACAGCATAAGCAAGGCTCCCCCATAGGAAAAAATGGGTTGGTGTTCAGTGCAGCCCAGTGTCAGGCTACTTTCATTCTCATGAGCTCATGACCCATGCACAAACCAGGACTGATATTTCACCAGTCTTGGATGTGCCTAGCATGCCTGCACGCCACCGTCTCTTACGCAGCCCATCCACGTAGGCGAGACTGCCTTTTTTGCTGTGCCACACAGCCAGCTGCCCGCTGCATCAGTCCAGATGTTCTTTACATGTACTTCTTCCAGCTAATTTACAGAGCGAAAATTTCAGGGCCGTATTTCCCTGCTGAGGAAGCAGTACACACAGTGCTTGATATGGGTAGCACAGAGTCCTGCTGGGACTGATCATTGCCAGCTTTTAACTGAACCACTGAGGAGGGTTTTTTTTTTTTTGGTGACTTCTCAAAGTGTGAATGTATTCAGGCCTCTCAATCTGCTTTTTATGTACTTTATTAACTCAGTGCTGGCTGCTACTGATCAAACTAGTGAGGACTGATATCAGTATAGTTTCTAGGTTTATTGTGATTAAGAGAAAACAGGCATTTTTTCCAAAAAAATTAATTATGTATTTCTAAATACACTAACCATTGCACTTATGACCTATAATAGGACATTTTAAAAACCCTGACAAACAAAACCACAGCTTTAAAAAAACTGTGCCAAACATCCAATTTGCATGTCCTTGTTAAAACTGACTTTCTAGCAGGAAGATGAGGGGAAAGGGAGAGAGCAAAGGGACTAAGGGAGCTTAAAATAAATTTCTGCACAACAAACAAAAGGAAAATGAACTTTGTAATCTTGATGGAGCTGCAAGAAAGACATGTCTTGAGCACATGTTTGGGCAAGTTGAGACTAAGCAACTCAGTCCTTTATAAAAAATGAGATTGTTCTTCCATTACTATAATCGAAGGAAAATGAGGATGATGGCAAGGCTTAAAATGTAAAGAAAGACTGGTTATTTTGCAATAATAATCAAACATTTTCTCACAGCTTTAAACCTGCGGGTATAACTTCAGGAGATTACTACTGACAGCCTTCCAAAAAAATGTAAAACACACCAGTATACAACAGTTAAGAAGACTCCTGTGATTTACGAAGAAAGTGATGCGTTGTAAATGTTATCTAAATGCTTTTAAACAATCAAAATGTTTAAACCTTTGAAAGCTGAGTAAGAAGACTAACCTGAAATCAAGTTGTTGGGTCTTTTTTAAAACTAGATTTTTAAAAACTGCCAATAGGAATTTTGGAATCAGGAAAATCTGTTTTGGAAACCAAGTAAATCCTGGTTAGGATTTCTTTGTGCTAACTAGAAGAAACTAAAAGTAATGTGAGGAGAGCGCTATTCTAAGGAAAGAAGGAATACAGGCAAAAAACCTGTGTGAACAAAGCAAATCTGAAAAAGTTTCAAGGATGACTGGATGTTACTTCTGGAATAGGCTTCCATTCAACTTATTTAGACTCTTCGTGAGCACAAACAGCAGTTGGGATCTGTTGATATACATAAAAAGGTGAGTTAAAACAATCACACAGTCATAAATAATGCCACAGACAGAGGACTCAGACCAAAAGAAATGGAGTGACAGGCAACAGCTTTGAAGCAGGAGGTTTCCTGGAGAGTTTTGGAGACAGATGCAGTTGTATCATAAAAAAAGAAATATGGCCATGTTTGTGTCACTTCATTCATTGGCTTTGCTGTCTGTGAAGGACGATGCATGTGGGGCTTTTATACATTGTGAAAAGCAATAACGCATGTAGGGATTAACTTGTCATTGATTTAAGTCAGTCCGATAGGTTAGCCTTTCTTCTTGGGGCTGCTTACTTGTAGGAACCTTCTTAGGCCTTCTGAGGACTAATTAAATTGTGGGAATCCCTTTATCACTGTGGGTTTTGTTTTTCGGGTCTCGACTCCCTTGTGTGGGTGAGCAATGTGATTTTCCCCCCGCTATTCTGGGGGCATCTCTTCTCTATTGGGTGAAAGTTGCAGCAGTAACTTTCCATTCTCGGCTCTAAAGGGTGCAATTCCTTGGTGATCACTTTGGCCATTAGAACCTAATCTGGAGTTATGTTCTCAGTTAAAAAACACTCTTACTGTTAAGATTTATCAGTGCAACATGAGACTCCAGTGTTTTACGGATGAGATGTTCCCTTTGGTAGTACGTCAGTGGGCATTAAAGAGCCACCTCTCAGGATTTAAGCTCTCAGAGGCTGTCTAAGACCCGCTGGACACCTTTCCTGCGGTTTCAGCAGTAGCCCTACAGAATGATGTCACAAGAGCATTTTCAGCAGACTTCCATTTTTTCCCCATATTACTCTTTCTCCTGCCAAAATTTTACAAGATAAGTGTCCGTGTACCTAGTGCCCACTAAAGAAGATGCATTTCTCTGCATAGCTAGCCTGACCTTTCCTTGTCACTCCGCTTAGCTGCCGTGACAAATTTGCTTTAAACCCTTTCACTTCCAAAATGGAACTGCTTGTGGGCATGTTGCAGCTCAGTTACTTGCATAAGAACTGCAGCAGCTGTGCTATTATCCTTAGCTATTACTAAAATTTCAATTTAGGCTCTTCTTGTTTTCAGCTCAGGTTTTAGTCACCAAGCTTAGATAGCAGAGCTAAAAATAGCTTCCAGGCATTGTCTCACAACCAGCTGTGGTTAGTCCATTTTGGTAGAACCCCATCAGCCCTGGGAACTACAAGATGCTTCTTTGCCAAAACTGCAGGGATTCTCTGGAAAGTTTAACCTGATGACTCCTGCTGTCCTGGCAGGTATCATTACCCCTTCTCAAATATGTTATTAATTAAGCTGCTCAGATAAAGTGTTTTATGTCAAATCAGAATGTTCCTGATAATAATTTGGAAGCTACCCCAAAGAATAGGCAAGTGTCCAGGCAATTTCTTTTTGATGCATCAACTTTGCATAGGATTGCTGAATATGAGTGTTTACTTGATACTTTGCATCACCTGCACTAGTAAAATCAGAGGCCCCAGCCTCAGCAGCTGCTATTTAGCTTTCATTGAGGCATCCACAAGAGGCTGGACAAGCTGTGTGGAGAGAGAGATGGTAGCTTCTGGGAAGAGTTGGGTCAGCAGGCCTAGGTTAACTAGGTATGATACAGGAAAATGTTGTATACCGCTTGACTATTACAACCTCTGTCAACATATCTTTCCTAAACAATGCCACACACCACCAATCCTCACTGCTTGTGACCCAAACTTGGCAGCATTGTGTTTATGCAGAGAAAGGAGAGCTGATGGAAAAGATAACTTCAGAAAAGACAGCTGTGTCCTGACTGCAGAGGTGCAGAAGTAGACATGTGGAGCTAGGCAAAAATAGATTTAGAGTTTAGTAAACTTAATTATTCTAGGTAAGGTTCTTTGTGCCTTTAAATATATTTTAAATGTGATTTATTGCGTTTGTTACGAGATGTTTCATGTTAATTCTCTGTTTAAATGTATTGCTTTAATACAGCATTTCAGGGTGCATGTTATGCATGGCTGCATTTACATCCTTCCCCTAAGTTCAAGGCAGGCTTCAAATACACCTGTAAGAAAATCTTGTGAATGTGACCTTTTGGTCACATTCGAAAACAGTATCTTTTCGAATCTAGTCCAGAGGGGGCCAAACCTCTCCACCTTGCCTTATTGTGTTTTCTTTAATTTAGCCTGAATTCTTTAATTCAGCCTGAGCGTGGAACACAACCAATGAGTGCGGAAAACTTCTGCCTGTCCATAAAGCCCGGTTAATGCTGCAGAGAGCCAAAAGCAAAGCCTTAAGTTGAGAAGCAGGGACAGCCTTCGTGCCATGCTGCAGGAAAATGAGGGAGCATTAGCCTTCAGGAGAAAAGGGGGCCAGGAGAGTCCTGCACAGATGGCACTAAAGGGGTTACCTGGTGCTCTGCCTGCCATGTCATTCATGCACTCCTTGTAGTTCTTTGCCAGCAGGGAATAGAGTTGTGCTAGCTCAGGATTTTTCCCAGCGGCCACCAGGGCTTCGGCTGTGGCCAGGTGCATCACTGTGTCATCACTGACTTTCCAGCCTTGGATGCTGAAGTTGCCGAGCCCTCCCATCTGTGCCAGCTCCTCGTGGATGTCAGGGCCGCTCTGGAGGAACTCCCATTTCCCATTGTAATAGCCCAGTGTGTCCCCAAGCGCACTCATCACCATAGATGCCACGTAGTTTTCCATCAGCTTGGGACACAATTCTTGCCCCATGATGGCTTCAATGGAGCAAATACTAGGGGGAAAAACAAGCAAATGAGAGAGGGAAAGGGAGAAAGTCTTTCTCATCTTAATACAGGCTAAGCTCGCACAGCTTGGATGCTTAGCCTAGCACCTGCATCTCATTCAGGATTTTCCTTCAAAGTAGCTGTTTCCTCATGACATCTGGGCACAGGGTGAGCGCACAGCTCGTGAGCTCGTGAGCGCGGGCTTGCAGAGCAGCACCTGGCCAGCTGAGCCCAGAGCTGGGGACAGCGGAGCCCGGTGCTCCAGCAGCGGCAAAAGTCCAGCACTGCATTGCCCGTCACAGCCGGTTCAGAGCAGCGGCCGTACAGCAGGCACACGTGCCTCTGATTTCAGAGCCTGGCTACAGAAATTTCCGTTCTTAAAAGCAGAGTTGAATATTGGGGTAGATATTTTAAGTAAAAGATCTCTCCCTCCCAGCTACAATATATCCTTCCGGGCTCGTCACTTTTTATGGCTGTGTCTTGATAAGTGCTAAAGGGACTGGAAGTCTCCTTTCCCCATATGACTTGGGAAAAATGCAGAAAGAAAAAATCACAGACATAGTGAAAATTCAAATTACTAATCAACTGCTTGAGGTTAAGCATGTGATTTGCCTAACCGAGAAGGCCTCTTACCGTTGGACCTTGTTTTCGTTCACACTAATTACTTACACAACGAGTATTTTGAATAAGAGCTGCTGGGCCCTCCCCTCCATTAGCGAAGGAGCACATCTCTTCCACCGCTGCACAAGCCTCTTCGGCAGGGCCTGGCACTTTGCTGCTGAAGCTCACACCACGCAGGGCTGAGCGGTTGCAGACGCCCTGCCCGGCATAGGCAGGTTTACGCCCTTGGCTAGTTTCTGAATTACACCGGGGAACGCAAGAGGGCTCAGCGCGGTCTTTCTAGGAGAAAAGAAAAGTGAAAAAAAAAAAAATCAGAAAAATTATTAAAGCCACGCTTTCCGGCTCTCTTTTACAGACCACAGCGTAGCAGAAAGGGAAAGCAAGCTCTTTTTTTTTTTTTTTTT